TTCACTCTAGTTTTCTGACCCCTATTATAGTTGCTGTTTCCATTTCATCTTACCACTTCCTTCTCAATCTAGGAATTGAGAGTTTTTGAGAGAGAGCAAGCTTGTGCACAAAGCATGCACAAGCAGTGGAGGGGCAGAGGGAGAGAGAGAGAGAATCTTAAGCAGACTCCATACCCAGCTCAGAGCCTGATGTGGGGCTCGATCTCACGACTCTGAAATCATGACTTGAGCTGAAACCAAAAGTTGGTCACTTAACCGACTGAGCCATCCAGGTGCCCCTGAAAGCTTTTTTTTTTTTTTTAATACTTTTTATTTTGGAATAAGTTTGGACCTCCAGGAAAGCTGCAAAGATAGCACAGGTTCTGTATACCCTTCACCCAGATTACCTTAATGTTAACATCTTTCATAACCATGGTACATGTCAAATTTAAGAAATTGCTGTTACTATGATTATTAACCAAACTCCGGACTTTATTCAGATTTCACCAGTTTTCTCACCAAGATCCTTTTTCTGTTCTAGGATCCATTCCAAGATACTACATTTAGTTGAACTAATTTTTCCTTTTTTTTTCTCTTCTAATTTTTCTTTCATACACTAAAACCATCAAAACCCACTCTTTAATTCCAGTGGAAAAGACTGCATGAACCTGCCTGTGGTTTCCCAAGTGTGCTCAAGGAAATTTTTGCTTTTTCAATGACCATCCTCAAGAATATACAATCCAGTCAGCTCTTCCAAGTACAGGGAACAAAGAACCCCTCAGTTTAGCTCAAGGAAGGCTGTAGGGGAGAGCTCATGGGGGTTCATGGACAGGCAGCAAAGACTCAAGGCTGGGGACTGGAAGAGCACTCAGGAATGGAGTCCATTATTCCTGGTTTGTCTCTGAGTCTCTCTCTACCCCCTGCTCCCCACCTCCCCATCTTTGCCTCCTTCCACCCCTCCCTTCTCTCTCCTAACCCACTTCCTCAGCTTAATTGTCCTACAAATGCCCACATTGGCCATCTGGGCCCACAATTTTCAGGATTCAGTCTGTGCCACCAACTGTAATTCGCTCTGATTAAACCCCAGTTCATATATTCCAGCTAAACCCTGACTCTCATCAACCTTGTAAGACATTTATTACAATGTTCTGTTTACTGTGGCATAAAAAAACATTTTTTAAAAGATTTTATTTATTTATTTGACAGGGAGAGATAGCGAGAGAGGGAACACAAGCAGGGGGAGGGACAGAGGGAGAAGCAGGCTTCCCGCTGAGCAGGGAGCCCGATGCGGGGCTCGATGCGGGGCTCGATCCCAGGACCCTGGGATCATGACCTGAGCAGAAGGCAAACGCTTAACGACTGAGCCACCCAGGCGCCCATAAAAGAACAATTTATAATGCAAGTTATCACTAATCTTTGACAATAGATCCATTAGAATCCACTCAAAAAATAGAGAAAAGGGATCAAAATGGAATTTTTAATTGAGGGTAAACTAGACAAGACTAAAATCTCTAGGGATTGTTAAATATAGCTTGCAGAGACTATCTCAAAGGATTTTGGGCAAACTGCATGGGATTCAAACATTTCTCAGAATTTCAGTGCAAACAGAATTGAGCTAATATCCTAGAAAAGAAAGTACACAGCTAATCCAAATCTGCTAATTAATCTAATAGAACATACTGGCTTTTGATGGTTTTCCCCTTTGGGAGAGGAAAAAATAACCCTGCTTATAAATCAAGATTTCCTTAAACAGACAGACTGAAATTTACTACAGTTCTTCAGGGATCTTGAGCTTCAATAAATCAACGAGAAAGTTCTTCATTGAATGTACTTACACACCCTGTTCTGCCATTGATACTTTCCACACTTCCTCTGTCTCTCCCTCCCTCCTTCACTCCTACCTGAGGGCCTACCACATTCTCTTAGGTTTTGATGAAATAGCAGCAAACAATAAGTAACAAAGGGGTTCAGAACAGGTCACCTCAAAATATGCTGCTTTAGAATATTATTTTGAAGCCACTTGAAAAACGACAGGTACAAGGAAAGCACTCTAACCTTTCCTTTTCTTCCCAAAAATGGGAGATGAAACTCCCAGTGTGAAAGATGCCCTCCTGATACCGGGAGGAAAAAGAAAATTTTTATCACCAAAGACAGGGAGTCGAGGTTGAGGGAAATTTGTACACATAGGCCTTATTAAAATAACTCTTATCTTCTTCTAGTCTCTCCATATATTTTAGTTACTTTTCCACAATTGAAACTCTTTTTTCCAACTTAGTATATAAGTGCACTTGGGCCTAGATACTTCTCTGGGTCTGTGTTTTCCTGTGAAGACTCCTGTGTACAGGCAAACTTTTATTAAAATTTGTATGCTCTTCTCCTCTTAATCCATAAAAGACAATCCCAGCCAGAAACCCTAGGAGGATAGAGGAGAAATTTTACCCTCTACATAAACAAACTAGAATATTAGATATGTAACATATTTGGGGAAATATAAACAAGGAAGGGGACAGGGAGTGCTGGGGAGGGACACTGCTACTTTAAATAGAGAGTCAGGGAAGGCTCATAAGAAGGGGATACTTGAGCAAAGCCTGCAGCAGGTGAGGGAGAAAGCCTTGCTGATATTTGGGGCAAAAGCAAATGGGAAAGTGCGGGGAGTTTGAGAGCAACAAAGATCAGACCTGGCATTAGCGGGAAGCGGGCTGTACAAATGCAGGGTTGAATCCTGCCTTGTGTCCAAGTTTTTATACTTTGTGTACCATGGATTATTTTGCATTAATTTTGGTATTTCATTAAAATGGTCTTTATCTTGAGTACTGAATTTTTTGGCACCTCAAGGCTGATGCCTCATGAGCTTCAGTCTTGTCCAGGCCCTGGAGTGGATGGAGGGGGTAAGGGGGGCCTGGGGGAGAGTAGTAGGAAATGTGGTCAGAGAGAAGGGGATTCTGAGGAGCTTGGTTTTTACACTGAGTGGGACTGGAAGTTGCTGCCAAAACATATTACTACAAATCTAGTGGCTTAAACAACATACATTTGTATCTTACAGTTCTATAGATCAGAAGCTCAACACTGTCTTACCAGGATAAAACCAAGCTATCAGCAGGGCTGCATTCCTTACCCTGGAAGCTCTGTGGGAGAATCTGTTTCGTTGCCCTCTGAGCGGTGCTAGAGGAATTCAGTTCCATGAAATTGTACACCTGAGGCCCCCTGTTCTTGCTGGGGGCTTGGTGGCCCCGTCCTGCAGTTTCAAAGCCAGTAGTGAAGGGTCAAGTTCTCTCAGTCTTTGGCTTTCCTCTTCCACTTTTAAGGACCCATGTGATTAGACTGGGCCCACCTGGTAATCCAGGACCATTTCCCCACCCCCACCCCATCCCGTAAACACACCTGCAAAGTTCCCTTTGCCATTCAAGATACCAGACTCACAGGTACTGGGGATTAGGACATGGACATCTTTGGGGAACCATCACTCTGTCCATCACCAGGACTTTGAACAATGGAGCAATGATCCCTCCAGCTACTCTGCCGAAAACAGTTGGGGGAGGGGGAAGGGCAGGGAGGATCAGAGCAGAAACAGGGAAACTGGTAAAGATGCTGATGCAGTGGTAATTCAGAGGAGAAATGATGGTGGCTTCGACAACGGGATGGCAGGTGTTAAGGGTCAACTTAGCTGGCTACAGTCAGCAGTTATTCAATCAAACACTAATCTGGGTGTTGCTATGAAGATATTTTGTAGATGTGATGGAAGTCCCTAGTGGGTTGACTTGAAGTAAGCGAAATTACCCTAGATTGAGGGTGGGCCTGATTCCATCAGTGAAGATCCCTCTGAGCAGACCACAGAACCTGAGTAGGTTCCCGGATGAGGAACCACCTCTGCCGGTGGACAACAGCTTCACCTGGCGCCTCAGCATTCCTGCTTGCCTTGCCTGAGGGCCCACCCTGCGGACTTCAGACTCTCCTAACCAGCCCCGCAATTATGTAAGCCAACTCCTTGCAATGAATCTCTTACTATGCCTCTCTGACTGGTTCTATTTCTCTTGCTGAACCACATACGGGTATAGATACTGACTTTTATGACTTAGACGGTTATCGTTATAGATACCGACTGATACAGATGCTGAAGAAATTTTGAATGTGGAGCCAACGGGATATGCTAGTGGACTGGAAGTAGGAAGGGAGAAAGAGAGGAATCAGGGATGATTCCAGGGTTTTCTCCCTGAGCATCTAGAAGGATGGCTCACTTGTCTCCTTCTAAGATAGGGAATCACTCTATCATGACAGCCACTCCAAGAGCCCATTCAATTTCCCCCCAAGGCAGCCCCTTTCAGAGAGAGGACGTGCACGGGCAGGGATGGGTAGATGAGCCTGGCCAGCCCTGAGGTAGGCAGGCTCCCATCCAAAGGGGGAAGTAGAGAATAAAGTCACCGCTGGGCTCATGCCACTCATCCAGAGATATTGTGGTTTTCCATTGCATTCTGGAAGAGCAGGTCTCTTTACTGTTCTCTACTCTGAACCTCACCTCCCCCGCTGGTTTTTGCTCTGTGGGAACCAGTTTGCTAAACCCTGAGCCAAAAACAAGCAAGGAGAGCTGAATAGAGACTTTATGAATAAATGTTGCTCTGTGGGCTTCTTTTTTCCTTGTGAAGGAACAGGGTGTGCTTGAAAGTAAAAAGTGAGTTGGGTTGTTTTTTTTTTTAATCTTCCTGGAAGGCGGAAAAGAAAAAGATAAAAAGGAAAGAACAGCATTTATTTGTCACTTGGTACTGCTCTGGTTAACACAATGGTTGGGTCCCTGACCCCTCTCCAGGCCTCCCAACCTGGCACTGAATAAAATTGAAGAAATGAAAGGAACTTTTCCAAGAGTCTGGCAGCTCAGACAGATAATGAAGTGGCAAAGCTGTGTAGTACCAGCCCACACGCACAGGCCCCCATTTCCTCCTACCTTCCAGAACGCAGCAACCAGGGCTCCATGAATCTGCAATCCTGTTCAGGCAAACCTCCACTGCGCATCAACTGTTCATGGAGAATCTGAACCCCCACCCCTGAAGGGGGCAGGGTGGGGTCAGTTTCTAGCCTAATCATTGCCAATATAAATGTTTGAGGGGCTCTCTGATAAGTAAATCAATAGAACATCTTTAATCTGAAGGGGGCCAAATATTGTGCTTCTTTGGTTTCATACAAAAGGCAAAAGATTTCATGTTAGGAGGTACTTGGTTATGCCAGCTAGTTCCCAGAGCCTTTTCCCCCTTCTCACTCTCTTCTGTATTGGCCCACCACGAGTCAGAATCTGATCCTTCCTCCCAGAGAAGTGTCAGGCATTTGTTGTTCCTTCAAAAGCCAAGTTCTCGAGTTTCTGGTGGACTTCCGGTGATTCCTGCAGGGTCTTTGCTTTCTCTCTCCTCAAATGTTCACTGCTGAGGTAAAACCAGATGAAGTCCTTATCACCTCAGACCCGTACTGCAAAGAAAGTGAAAAATTTTTGTCCCATCGCCCCCTGCCCTTGATCTCTACAGGAAAAGGAAAAAGCCCCCAAGGAGTCAGGTTTGGAATGAAAACATGCACCACACAAGATTTTTGTGAGGATTAAATAACTTGGGCCAAAATATTTTGGAAGCAGCCAAGGGCTCTACAGGTTAGATATACAGAAGTATTGGCTGAAAGCCAACCTAGATTGACAAGCATAATGCAGATGTAAGAAGCTGAAGCAGACTCTGAGTCCCTGGTGGGTGGTAGCCAGACAAAGGATGTATAATCATGGTTTCATGGAAAAAGAAGTCTCCCAAGAAAGAGAGACGAGATTCTTGGCCCAGCAAACAAGCTCAAGAAGAGGAGAAATGGCAAGTAGCAAAGATATAAGATCTGTGGGTTTTTCTTTCTACTCGGGCTATAGATGTATGAGAGACACACTCCATGCTAAGGGCACACCCCAGGGGCCTGTGGGACAAGCAACCCCCAGAGTCCTTGCCACCTCTATCTCAGTGCATAGGGTATAGGACATGCAGAGCATGGGATCTGGGGAGTGAAGGGAATTTGGGCTTCTACACGGTGTTTCCAGACAAGATATTTGTTACTTTCTCTTAAATTTCTTTTCTGATGATCTCGTGATATGCGTGCTAACAAGAGGATTGAGCTGACCGTGTCTGTCCCACATTTCAGCTATTCCCAGAAATGCTACGCAAAGGAAAATGTAGGTGGAAAGTGTGACAGCAAAATGCCTTGGAAACCTGGGGAAGGGCACGGTGCTGGGAGGATGAAAACAAAACTAATATTTGATTGATGACTTGCTGTGGGCCAGGCACTGTTCTAAGTATTTTCAATGTATTAGCTCATTGGATCCAATTTTAGGAAGCAGGATGATTATTTTCCCATTTAATGGATGATGTAACTGAGGCACAGAGAAGTTAATTTGCCCAAGGTCACAGAGGTAAACCAGGTTTCAAATATGGATTACTTAACTGTATAATCTTCCATAAAGTGGGTATAGCATATTTCCCTAACCTGTCTCCAGTTAGAAAATGGGGAAGAACATGCCAGCAAGGGCGAGATACATTTGTTTTGACTAGGGGTAACCTATAGAGATATAGCATTACAACTTTGAAGGTTAAAATGTTTTTGGCCACTGCACCAGTAAGGATGCTTTTGGTGACAAGTAACAACATATCCAACCGAAATTAATTAAACAATAAAGACATTTATTACTTCATATACCAATAAGTTGGATTCAGTCCAATTTTAAAAGATTGGGTCAATGATGTCATCAGGAACCAGATATCTTCCATCTCTTGGCTTTGCCTTCTTCAGTATGTCAGTCCTGTCTACCTCATACTAACAAGATGGCTGCAGCAGTTCCAGGCACCCCATGTCAACAAGATTATATCCAGTGGAGAAAGAGTTTCCCATCAGACTCTTAGCAGACTTTACAGGTTAATTGGACTAAGCTAGGTCTCATATCTATGCTCCAACTATAAGGAATCTGAGAATGCGAGTAGCTAGAACTCACAGCTCTGGTGAAAGGACAAACTCTTCCAAAAAGCAAGAGGGAGGTGGGATGAGGGGGTGTTGTGCCACTGATTTGGGCACCTACTTAGTGTTTTTATGTTTTACTTTTCTTTTTTTTTAAGTTTTATTTTTTCATTGTTATGTTAATCACCATATATTACATCATTAGTTTTTGATGTAGTGTTCCATGATTCATTGTTTGTGCATAACACCCAGTGCTCCATGCAGAACGTGCCCTCTTTAATACCCATCACCAGGCTAACCCATCCTCCCACCCCCCGCCCCTCTAGAACCCTCAGTTTGTTTTTCAGAGTCCATTGTCTCTCATGGTTCATCTCCCCCTCCAATTTCCCCCCCTTCATTCTTCTCCTCCTGCTATCTTCTTCTTCTTCTTTTTTTTTAACATATAATGTATTATTTGTTTCAGAGGTACAGATCTGTGATTCAACAGTCTTGCACAATTCACAGCGCTCACCATAGCACATACCCTACCCAATGTCTATCACCCAGCCACCCCATTCCCCCCCACATCCCCACCACTCCAGCAACACTCAGTTTGTTTCCTGAGATTAAGAATTCCTCATATCAGTGAGGTCATATGGTACATGTCTTTCTCTGATTGACTTATTTCGCTCAGCATGACACCCTCCAGTTCCATCCACGTCATTGCAAATGGCAAGATCTCATTCCTTTTGATGGCTGCATAATATTCCAGTGTGTGTGTGTGTGTGTGTGTGTGTGTGTGTGTGTGTGTGTGTACCACTTATTCTTTATCCATTCATCTGTTGATGGACATGTTGGCTCTTTCCACAGTTTGGCTATTGTGGACATTGCTGCTATAAACATCGGGGTGCATGTATCCCTTCGGATCCCTACATTTGTATCTTTGGGGTAAATACCCAGTAGTGCAATTGCTGGATCGAATGGTAGCTCTATTTTCAACTGTTTGAGGAACCTCCATACTGTTTTCCAGAGTGGTTGCACCAGCTTGCATTCCCACCAACAGTGTAGAAGGGTTCCCCTTTCTCTGCATACCCTCCAACATCTTTCGTTTCCTGACTTGTTAATTTTAGCCATTCTGACTGGTGTGAGGTGTGTATCTCATTGAGGTTTTGATTTGGATTTCCCCGATGCTGAGTGATGTTGAGCACTTTTTCATGTGTCTGTTGGCCATTTGGATGTCTTCTTTGGAAAAATGTCTGTTCATGTCTTCTGCCCAATTCTTGATTGGATTATTTGTTCTTTGGGTGTTGAGTTTGATAAGTTCTTTATAGATTTTGGATACTAGCCCTTTATCTGATATGTCATTTGCAAATATCTTCTCCCATTCTGTCGGCTGTCTTTTGGTTTTGTAGACTGTTTCTTTTGCTGTGCAAAAGCTTTTTATCTTGATGTAGTCCCAATAGTTCATTTTTGCCCTTGCTTCCCTTGCCTTTGGTGATGTTTCTAGGAAGAAGTTGCTGTGGCTGAGGTTGAAGAGGTTGCTGCCTGTGTTCTCCTTTAGGATTTTGATGGACTCCTGTTTCACGTTTAGGTCTTTCAACCATTTGGAGTCTATTTTTGTGTGTGGTGTAAGGAAATGGTCCAGTTTCATTCTTCTGCATGTGGCTGTCCAGTTTTCCCAACACCATTTGTTGAAGAGACTGTCTTTTTGCCATTGGACATTCTTTCCTGCTTTGTCAAAGATGAGTTGACCATAGAGTTGAGGGTCCATTTCTGGGCTCTCTATTCTGTTCCATTGATCTATGTGTCTGTTTTTGTGCCAGTACCATACTTGTCTTGATGATGACAGCTTTCTAATAGAGCTAGAAGTCCGGAATTGTGATGCCGCCAGCTTTGCTTTTTTTTTTCAACATTCCTCTGGCTATTCGGGGTCTTTTCTGTTTCCATACAAATTTTAGGATTATTTGTTCCATTTCTTTGAAAAAAGTGGATGGTATTTTGATGGGGATTCCATCGAATGTGTAGATTGCTCTAGGTAGCATTGACATCTTCACAATATTGGTTCTTCCAATCCATGAGCATGGAACATTTTTCCATTTCTTTGTGTCCTCCTCAATTTCCTTCATGAGTATTTTATAGTTTTCTGAGTACAGATCCTTTGCCTCTTTGGTGAGATTTATTCCTAGGTATCTTATGGTTTTGGGTGCAATTATAAATGGGATCGACTCCTTAATTTCTCTTTCTTCTGTCTTGTTGTTGGTGTATAGGAATGCCACTGATTTCTGTGCATTGATTTTCTATCCTGCCACTTTACTGAATTCCTGTATGAGTTCTAGCAGTTTTGGGGTGGAGTCTTTTGGGTTTTCCACAGAAAGTATCGTATTATCTGCAAACAGTGAGAGTTTGACTTCTTCTTGGCCTATTTGGATGCCTTTGATTTCTTTTTGTTGTCTGATTGCTGTGGCTATGACTTCTAATACTATGTTGAATAGCAGTGGTGATAGTGGACATCCCTGCCGCGTTCCTGACCTTAGGGGAAAGCTCTCAGCTTTTCCCCATTGAGAATGATATTCACTGTAGGTTTTTCATAGATGGTTTTTATGATATTGAGGTATGTACCCTCTATCCCTATATTCTGAAGAGTTTTAATCAAGAAAGGATGCTGTACTTTGTCAAATGCTTTTTCTGCATCTATTGAGAGGATCCTATGATTCTTGTTCTTTCTTTTGTTAATGTATTGTATCACGTTGATTGATTTGAGGTTGTTGAACCAACCTTGCAGCCCAGGGATAAATCCCACTTGATCGTGGTGAATAATCCTTTTAATGTAGTGTTGGATCCCATTGGCTAGTATTTTGGTGAGAATTTTTGCATCCATGTTCATCAAGGATATTGGTCTGTAATTCTCCTTTTTGATGGGGTCTTTGACTGGTTGGGGGATCAAGGTAATGGTGGCCTCATAAAACGAGTTTGGAAGTTTTCCTTCCATTTTCTATTTTTTGGAACAGTTTCAGGAGAATAGGTATTAATTCTTCTTTAAATGTTTGGTAGAATTTCCCTGGGAAGCCATCTGGCCCTGGGTTCTTGTTTGTTGGGAGAGTTTTGATGACTGCTTCAATTTCCTTAGTGGTTATAGGTCTGTTCAGGTTTCCTATTTCTTCCTGGTTCACTTATGGTAGTTGATACATCTCTAGGAATACATCCATTTCTTCCAGGTTATCTGATTTGCTGGCATAGAGTTGCTCATAATATGTTCTTATAATTGTTTGTATTTCCTTGGTGTTGGTTGTGATCTCTCCTCTTTCATTCATGATTTTGTTGATTTGGGTCATTTCTCTTTTCTTTTTGATAAGTCTGGCCAGGGGTTTATCAATCTTGTTAATTCTTTCAAAGAACCAGCTCCTAGTTTCATTGATCTGTTCTACTGTTCTTTTGGTTTCCATTTCATTGATTTCTGCTCTGATCTTTATTATTTCTCTTCTCCTGCTGGGTTTAAGCTTTATTTGCTGTTTTTT